ATCTTCTTGCTACTTTGATACCATGGATTCTCTTCTCAAGAACCTCTTTCTTCAGCATCCCCAAAAGCACATCTGCATAAATAACAAACAAATAAAGTAAGAGTGGGTCTCCTTGACGGAGACCCCTGTTAGGAACAAAACTTCTACTAGGTTGGCCATTGATAAGCAGCTGATATGAGAAAGGACTCGATAGGACTTCGTGGTCCTATGCCTACGTATTCTCAAAAGATATGAGAAAGTCATAGTCAACGTAGTTCGAGAAACTACGGGTGATGGAGGGAAGGTGTGCTTGCCAAGACATCATCGTCCTGTGCCTATGTATCCTCATCTGGTATGAGAATACGTATCCTCATTAGGGAATGAGGAATCAGAGCAGCCGTAGTTCGACCTACGGTTAACTGGTGTTTTTGTGGAAGATGTTAACGTACACATTCTAGCAGTTAGGTGCATTGCAGCTCGCTCGTGGAGTCTTAGGCATTACCTGTTTGCGGTAGAAAGGACGTAACATATCCTTTTTGGAAAGAGAGTTTTCGCCGTTGAGGCAAGATGTCACATTTGATTTGTGGAAGTTGTTTTTTAGGGGTGAAATAGATCCTCGGATAGTAACCCCTTGCGGGTAGTACCTAATTATTTATCTCAAAATATTTATTATGAAATAGTATGGCGAATATAGTCACGTCTTCATATTGAAAGACGAGTATCGAGACCACACACCCTACAGTGAGCATCCTGACACTCGGAGAGAAAGAAGTCTGCACTTAATCCTCACTCTTTAGATTAATACAGAGTGGACTTCATTCTTTTATTAAAGATGTTTTTGATCTTGGATGGTAAGTGCTTTACGACAGTGAACCCTAAAGGTAATGTCAAGCACTCGGGATAGGAGAAGGCCTACACCTAACCACTCCACAACCATCCAAGTTTATTTAGAAAAGAGTGTTTTTATAAAATGCACTTGGTACGAGATCAAGGTTTTAAGAGAAAAGTTATGAAAAGAATGGATGTTGAATTAGTTTAACAGTTGTTTGAGAAAATTCGCTTGACGTTCAAGGGTTTGATTGCTTAAAAAAGTTTGAGGTGATGCGAACAAGGTTGATAGCGATGCACAAGGCAATCGACTTACAAGGTCAAAAATGGCTCGATAAGAATCGAGAGTTTATTTTGAAAATAGTTTTTTTTAGAACCAAAAGTCAAGGATGACCATAATAATATCCACATATAATGACGAACTTCTTAAGGTTTTTCATATCATTACACTATTCACAAATAGAGGCAAAAGGCACTGAAGTTCGCTGTGCGAACTTGCCAGTGAACCTCACCAAGTTCGATGTGCGAACTTCCTAGCTAATATACACTCTTCACAAACAGAGGAAAAAGGGGCCAAAGTTCATTGTGTGAACTTGCCAGCAAACCTGCCCAGAAAAAACATCAAGAAGTTCGTTGTGCGAACTTCATGCTGTTTTGCTCAGAATATGCCTTTTTCAAAGAAACAGAGGGGAAAGGGGGCAAAGTTCGCTGTGCGAACTTGTCATCAAACATGACAATATTTTGAGGTTTTTTAAGTGTTCTCACCTCTCTCTCTACAAAACTCACTCTTGTTTTTGACAATAACTAATCACTCTTACACCCTAATTAAAAACATATGTATCCACAAATACTATCCTAACTAACAACAAAGATAAAGTGTGCAACAACCATGCAAGCATACAAAAATATATACAATGAAATATAAAGAGATCAAGGTTCAAAGAAATGGATACCCAAGAGTTGCTACTCTCCTTCTAATCACCACTGTTGTTTTGTTGGATGTATTTATTCTTTCACTCTATGTTTCTATCTCTCTTTTTCTATTTTTCTTTTTTAAAACCCTCTTGTTCTCAATGTCACTTTTCTCTCCTCTTTCTTTTTCTAGTTTCCTTTTTTCCTATCTCTTGCTCTCTATATCCTCCTCTTACTGATGCTCTCCTCCTTATGCCCAAAACATTAGGGTTTTCACTTGTTTAAAAAACTTTTGATTTCTTCATTGGGGAATACCTTTTACCACTTTCTTGATGCCACTCTCTTTCTTTCCATTTTCAGAAATCCTATTTTTTCTGCTGCACTTTTGCTGCTGTACTAAAGTAATAGAGTTTGCACATGCTTCAAGTTTTAGAATTTCTATACTTGGAAATGCTTATTACCACTTTCTTGGTGCAACCCAATTTCTTTCCATTTCTAGCATGCTGTTTTTTCTGCATTTGTTGCTGCACTTTCCTAATGTTGTTTTTTCTGCATTGCTCTCCTTTATTCACTTGTTCTTGGGTTGTCCTTGTGGTCCATGCTTCTCCCCTTGACAGAATTTTGAAAATCTGAATTTTGGCATGTATGTGAACCAACATGATCTAGTCCCTCATATTTTGTGACATGGTTTGTTTGGTTGGGAATTAGTTGGTCATGGGGCTGTTTTAGATCACATTGAAATTGCCTATGGCTAAGCACTAATGGTATTGATCTTGAAATGTTCCAATGTTGCATTAAACCTTAATTGTTTTTCTTGGATATTTGTAGGCTTATTTGGTTATGAATCATGTGAAGGCATAATGTGAAACATGTAGACTTAATGAGGCATGAAGGGCACCATAGCATGAAGTTGATTAGAAACTTGAGTCAAGATTAGAAATAACTTAATTTTCTTAGCATTGCTTAAAGTTGGAAACTTTGTAACAAATGTGACATTCTTGCAATGTCATGAAATTTCCCTTTGTAATAATCTTGAATTTAATCTTGAATTCATGAATCTTGAATTCGGAATGATGGATCTCCCTTATGCCATTGAATTTGAAATGGATGAAGTCTTGAATTATGAACTTGTGATCTTGACTCATGTCTTACAAATTTGAATTCCATTCGAACATAGAATTTGAAACAAAGTTGGATGAAGAAATCTTGAATTAGGCCTTGCACTTCATGTTCATTAGGAATATTGATCTTGAATATCCTAATATTTTTAAGTAACTTCTCCTTGAAGAAATATACATGAGTAAATTTTCCAACTTGAATCAAACCTTAGATGATGAACCTTTCTTCAATGTAGCTCATGATAGGCAATTTCTCTCATTTGGAATGGAAAACAACGGAATGACCCAATCCTTACTTTGTAAACCCGCATGCTCGATATGCCCTAGAACGATGTATGATATGATGCAAATAGGACATGAAAGGCTAATGGTGAAAATCTTTGGCTCTTGATATCTGAAAATTATCGAAGAGATTAAACCTGATACCTGATGATTTGGTTCACAGAAACTCCTGATCCCATGCAGAGTATGATCATGAATTATAACCTAATGATGATGCAGATGAATGCAAAGCAAAAGCCAATTAAGGTTAGAAAAAGGGAGGGCAAATTTTGGGGTGCTACAGAAAGCTCTTCAAACAGTTTGTAACAGCTTTAGTAACAGCCTTCACGATGACATTACACAGGCTAATGAGTCTAAAATCCAAAGGGACTGATGGATGCTTCTTCTTCGAGATGCGGGTGATGAAAGTATTATTTATCTCAACAGGACTCCTATTGTTATTCAAAATATCAAGAACATAACTTGAGACCTTATCACCAACCAGCGACCAATATTTCTGGTAAAAAAGAGCAGGGAGACCATCAGGTCCTGGAGCTTTAGTAGGGTGCATTTGAAAGAAAGCAGCACGAACCTCCTCCATCGTAAAAGGACTGTCACATAAGAGCTTGTAATTTGCATTTAGCCTACCTTCAATGTAATTGCTTACCTTTTGGGTATTCAGAGGATTTGAAGAAGTAAATAACTAATTGAAGTAATTGACAAGAATCCTTTCATAATTTCCACGACCCCTTCTCCAATTACCTCCCTCATCCTTCAATCTCTTTATCATATTGTTCCTTCTCCTTTGATCAGCTTTGGAATGAAATAATTTGGTATTTTTATCTTCGTCTCTAAGCCACACAACACGGCCTCTTTGTCTCCATAAGGTCTCTCCTGCCTTCAAGAGCTTATCTCTTTGCCTTTCCAAAGCTTTGAAATTCTGAACCTCCAACGAATCACCATACCATGTTCTCTCCTCATTAATAAGAGCTTTTAGTCTCAAAATTTATTTTTTAATGCTGTTGGTACGAAGGTCCTTAAAAACATGTTGAAGTTCCTACATAGAGTTGATCTTCTGGTGTATTGGAGCAAAATCGACACGCCAAATGTTCCTAACCAAATCACCACACTTAGGCTCCTTAGACCAAACTTATTCAAAACAAAACAAATACTTTCTTCTATCCTCGTCAATCTCTTTCTGAATAAGAATCCTCAGGGATGCATGATCTGACCCATATCTCTCCAAGTGAACAACCCTAGTGAGAGGGAAAACCCTTCTAAACTCATAAGAACACAAGCTTTTGTCCAGTCTTCATTGCACATTTTCCTCCTATCTACCATTAGTCCAAGTATAGGAATAGCCTTCAAACTCAAATTCTTGGAGACCATAAAATTCCATAGCATGTATGCTCCAATTCAATTGGGATCCTAATCTGCAAAGACCCCTAAGTTTGTCTGCTGTACAACTAGTGTCATTGAAGTCGCCAAAAAATATCATTTGATCCCCTCTCTCTTCATAGAAAGCTTGAACCAGTTTCCACGTCTCTTTTTTATTTGCTTCCTCTGGGAAACCGTAGACCCCAACAAAATTCCAGGGAATGTCATCATCCTCTTGTTGACATATTCCCGCTATGTGATTTTGAGAATAAGAAGTAACTTGCACATCTGTCAATTCATTCCACCAGAGGCAGATACCTCACGCTCTATCTCTCCTTGTACCTCTGCATTCCACTATTGCATCAAATTTAAATATGGATTTTCTTTTACGAACCATCAATTCCTCTTTCTTTAGCTTTGTCTCCATCAAAAAGACCACAAAAGGATTTTTAGAATGTAAGAGCCTTGTTAGGGCTCGAACTGCACGAGGGATCCTCAGACCCCTGCAATTCCAACTTATAGTCTTTATTGGGATAGGCAGTGTTGGTCCTCCAACACCACCTCTGGTTGCTTTGTGTGACCTTCAATCTCAGTGACCAATTGTTTTCTTTTCTTATCACCTGCTTCATAGACTTCAATGGGTCCTTCTGTTATCATAACATCCACTAGTTTCCTTTTGGTAAATTTCGGTTTGACAACCTTTCTTACCTCTATCTTCGCATTCTTAGTATTTTTCCTCTTAGTCCACTTTCGCTTCTGAACACCTACAGGAATATGGATATCCTTCTGACAAGCCATTCTTGCAGATAAAACCATTACTCCTAGCGATTCTGCCATTGTTTCCACATCCACGATATTGGGTATGTTTTGATCCCCAACTGTCTTATTTACCTCCTTCTGGTTCTAATCCATATAATTTTGTTGAACTTCAGTTTCCTCTCCTTTCCCTTTTCCTTTAGTGTCACATCTACTTTGGCTAGAAGAGACATTAAAGAGATCTTTGCTGCACAAACTGGAGCTAGATTCGTTCTTCTTTGAATCTTCCATTAGTTTTGGAAGAGGAGACGCATGAAGCCATTGACCAAATGACAAATCATGTTCCTCCAATTCCTCAAAACCCTCTTTATTCAGATCTTCCACAACTTCACAATCCTTGATCTAGTGTCCCATCCTTCCACACACAAAACAAAAAGTATGTAATATTTCATATTTGAAAGGCACCCTTAGGATTTTATCCTTGAATTTTACCACTGTCCCATGCTTTAATGGATCTTTCAGATCCAGGGTAACCTTGAGACGCAGAAACCTACCATTTTGATGAGCTTCTTTGACATCAATTTCTTCAAAAGTACCAATGATATTCCCTATTTTCTTTGCCATGGTTTCAGATCTAAGGATAAGCGGAAGTTCATATATTCTTACCCAGAAAGATCCAAAATGTATATTCAGATCCGACGTTGTTCCTCTCCAAACATACGATTCAACACCAATAAAGATCTGTCGAAGCTCCAAGTACCAGTTTTGAGAACATGCTCAAGATCACGCCTATAGTTAAATTTGAAGAGGAATAAATTTTTACTCATGTCCTAAATCTCCACAGGGTGCTTCAGCTTCCATGCGTTAATCGTCGTACTCTTGAAAGCTTTGGAATTAAAGTTGCTTCCCGTCCACAGTTTTCCAGCGAGGGTTCTTTGGAAGGATTCATCCTCATAAATTTCTTCCTCCTCTGCAACCACACCTTCTTCCTCCTCTTTTGAGATTGTAAAAGATTTCCACTTGTCCATCCCACGAGCACCTAAGACGAGCCGCTTGAGCTAGAGCCAAACTAAAAAAGTAAACCCAACGTGGGATGGGTGGAAAAGAGTCAGAGATCTAGAAGTTGAATAGCCACTATAATCCAAGAAGGAGAAAGGACAAAAGACACGATAAAAGACAGTAGAGAGAGTCCACTCTCTCTAGAAAGTCGCGTGAAAATTTTACATAAAGTTATAACTCTAGAAGTAGAAAACTCCAACTTACGTAATCATAAGTTTTCTATAAATCTACCTTAAAAATAATAAAATACGTATTAATTTGAAGAGATAAGCTTGTCCATAACCTTAACCAACCTAAAATTGTGAATATTTTTTAGAATAACCACATATTAAACTTTATTTACCAATATAATACATATTTAAAATAAATTTTCAAAATGGCCACATCAATTGGCGAAAGCTTGTAAACTGGAAAATCAAAAAAAGCAATTCGCCACATCAATTGGCGAAAGCTTGTAAACTGAAAAATAAAAAAAGCAATTCGCCATCCCAATTGGCGAATGTGTGCATTGTGTTATTTAGGGTTTCCACGTTTTCATTTATATTATTATTAGATTTTAATAAATTTAAGTAATTGATTATTTTTTTAATTTTAATTAATGTTTTATTCTATTTTTTAAATATATTATTTTTAATTAATTTCAATTAATTTCTATTTTTTAAATATTTTATTTCTTCGAGCATATGAGTCCCAAACTGCACCTTCTGTGCATCCGAGCAATTCATAACTCGAAAAATCTTTTCCACAGCTTTCAACCAAATTTGTGCCTTGTCCGGTTCATGAGTTCCCTTGAAGACCGGAGGGTTATTCTTTTGGAATTTCCCCAAAGCACGGAATCCATCATCAGCATGATTCCTCACATTCACATTGGCCGAAGGATTCTGCCCAATTGCCCCCGCCAATCTCGTCAATGCCTCCGCAATCGCTTCGTCGTTCCTTCCTGCAACTATCTTACTAATTCCAACCACAGAACCACGTAAGAACAACCAATATTGATAATGCAACACACGCATATCAATAACACACAGGGAAAAACACTCTAACAACTTGGCCGGACGGACCGACCTGCTCTGATACCACTATTGTAACACCCCCTTCTATACCCCAAATAAATGCATATAAAACAATTAAGCACATACACAATATCAGAGTAAAAAGGTTTTATAATAAGGTATAAAAGAAGAATGCCACAATTTCACCAATAAAACACTTTAACATTTTTGCTCCATAAAATATGTAACGTTTTCGTAGTTTTAGAAATCACATATCAACATTTAATTTAAGCGGAAGATAACATCATTTAATCAGTTCCAAAATATTAATTCAAATGCACATAAGTCATCCAGATTAATACATCATATCAGTTAGATTACAAAACCACATCGGCTGATACATCGCAATGTATCACAAAAGAATGACTATACTAGTCTAACTACCCGGTGTTACATATCAGAGCAGCCGACTCAAAAGAATGAAGACTAACTTCACAAAAGGACTCCAGCATCCTAATCTGCAATGCCTCATAGAGCATTATAAAACAGCAGAAGGGTGAGAAATATAACCATAATAATCAAGGCATAAGATTACGTATATATAGGTATCATATAACACATATTCACATTTCTCACCACACTTCAATTTCTTAGTTATGTATATTTGCCACACATATAATAACAACACGAATATTTGTAAAGCATGTCCACATCATGCATACTCTCACAATTTCACAATCTCATCATTCACACATAAGCATCACTTCATGCATATGTTATATATTAATGTGACTCAACAACTCAATGCAACTCATGCAATGCGGTACCGATTCTCGTTATCTTTTTTCGGTTTTTACATTAAACCGGGTCCACACTTCTAGACCGATAACCCGTTATCTTTTTTTCGGTTTTTACATTAAACCGGGTCCACACTTCTAGACTGATAACCACAAAGGCCCGTCCTCTAAGCCTTCAAACCCACACTTCTAGGTTTGGGACAAGCCACTAGTTTCCACGAAACTAACAGACATTGCCTCTTGACTAAATGATGCATGTACAATCAACCACAACAAATGCACTTAAGACCGACATCTTAATCTCATGCATTCGAATAATTCACCCCTTCGAGAATTTCATCATGATTGCACATACAACATATATCAAACATTTATCAATGTATTCATTTCACACATCATCATATTCAACAACAATGCACACATATCACATATGTTCCCATGCATTCACACCACAATCGCATACATATATGCACTCACAATTCATTAGACGATACACATACATTTCTCATTGTATTCCCATGTATCTCTAATTATCACAACAATCAAGGTATTCTCATTACAATACCAATCATACAATTATAAGTTATGCACACATATTCAAAATGTTCTCATGCATACTCATTACAAAATTGTATACACATCAAGCATTCGCAAATTCATTAAATAATACACACATAATCACTTATTATGTTCACATGTATTTTAACCGATTACAATTAATCCTTCATATCACAACTCTAGGATTCACGCCCGAAGGCTACCCACAGCACATGTTATCACAATAGATCATATCTATATTCATATCATAAGGTATCCACCTATGTGGAACAACCAAACCATCTCCACATGATCAACACAGCAAAAGAAAAATGTTGTCAAACTCGCCCACATTCGCCTGGCGAACCCTCGCAGCGAACCTTCGCCTGGCGAACTCCCTCAGCGAACACTCGCTAGGCTTCGCCTGGCGAGACTTCCCAGCAAACCCAAGTCAGTAGCTACTGACTTCATTCGCCACCATTCGCCAGCACCTTCGCTGGGCGAACCTTCGCTATCCAACCTCGCCTGGAGAACTCGCCAGCGAAGTCCATTAGGATTTAACTTATAATTATTCGCTAGCATTCGCTAGGCTTCGCCTGGCGAAGCTTCGCCTTTGCTCGCCTGGCGAGAGCCAGCGAACCTGCGCAGAACAGAATCACACTCTGTTCCTCCTTCACCAATCCATCATCAACCCTCTCTTACACATCCAAATCAGTATAAACAACATCAATACATGTTACCCGACTATTCTACGGCATTATTACTCAGTTTCAACCGATCAAATCCTCAATCTACCGATTATCCAACATTTTGCCCTAAATGGAAAGTGATGGAAACTCTACCAAAACCCTAACCCAACATACATAACATCATACAATGATCAAATAGAAACATTTCTCACCCTTACCTCGATTAATCGGAGCTTTGATGTTGGTTCTTGATGATTTCCACTTTTCCTCTTCTTCTCTTCTCTTTCTCTCCTTTCTTCTTCTTTCCTCTTTCCTTCCAAATGTTTTTCTAACTTTCTTTTCTTTCTTTCTCTCTTATATATTTCCTTCATTTTCCTTCCTTCCAATTTCCTCCTCAATTCTCTATTAATTCCAATTAATAAAAATTAATTTCTAACATTAATAAAAATCCCACTAAATCAATTAATTACTACAATTAATTATTTAATGAAATTTGGGCTGTTACAACTCTCCCCCACTTTAGAAATTTTCATCCTCGAAAATGTTACCTGATTCAAACAGCTCTGGATAAGACTCTTTCATCCGACTCTCAAGCTCCCAAGTAACATTTCCACCAGCCGGTCCTCCCCAAGCGCCCTTCACTAAAGCAATCTCTTTACCTCGAAGCTGCTTCAATTTCCGATCCGCTATCCGCATAGGTGATGTCTCAACAGTCAGGTTATCTCTCACTTGCACATCATCTACTTGGACTACATGAGACGGATCCGCAATGTATTTCCTCAACTGAGATACATGGAATACGTCATGAAGATTAGCAAGCGACGGTGATAAAGCCACACGATAGGCCACTTCTCCTATCCTTTGCAAAATATGATAAGGACCAATGAAACGCGGAGACAACTTGCGCGACTTCAGTGCCCTACCAACACCTGTTATCGGAGTGACTCGAAGAAACACATGATCTCCCTCTTGAAATTCAAGTGCCTTCCTCCTCTTGTCATAATAAC